CGCGCGAGCGGTATGCGGCCAACGCGGCTTCGACGTCTACTCGTGCGGAGCGCATGTCGATGTGCGTGTCGCTTGCTGGTGATATGGCATGAAGAATGCGACGTTGATGATGATTTCTACTCCATGGCTCGTTTTTTTATTATTTTGCTCGCGCGAGTCAATTTTGTTGTCGTGCCGCTGGATCCGGCCGGATGCGAGGTGGGCAATTTTAATTTATTTAATCAGATCAACATGCGATGGTCCTTGTGTGAAGTTTGCAATTGAGCTTAATCTATGGGGCTTGCTGGTTGTCCCAGAAATATCATGGCATCACGACCAGTCTCGTCTCCTCATCAAGGATGTGTACGGGCCGCATCGGCCTTTGCGTCTGAATTACATTACACTGTTGTACTTGCTAATTATACACTGTTTTACAGAGGAGAGGGCTCCTGAGTGTCGAGCTCCTCAGTTCCAGAGCGCGCAGTTCCTCATCTGGCCACGGCCAGTATACCACTCCCCTTCGACGAGGGCGAGCTCCTTTGCGCGCCACTCGTCAAATTTCCACTCAATGTTCTTCCAGTCCAGGTCAGCCAGCTTTGCTTCGAAAGACGCATCATCCACTTCCTTCAATTCCTTCACGGTGCCGTCTTTCTTCTTTTCTTTCTTCATACGATATCGCACGAAAAGAGAACAGTCCCTCAACGTCATGGCTATGCCATAATCGACGTCGGCAATGTCTTTTTTTCGTCTGAGAGGACCGAGTGGATCTTTGGAGAGTTGATGTTGTTTCAACAACTTGAGTGTGGGCTTTTGCTTCAGGAGCTCGTACAGACAAGCATAATTCTCATCGTCCTTGAAGATCTTCTTGATTGCCGCAGCGCGGATGGATTCTTTGCCTGGAGGTGTCTCTCTCTCAGGGTCGAGCCAGAGAGGGCAGGGGTAGTTGTCCGGGCTCAGCCGCTGCTCCTTGATTGGAGAATTGATCTCGGCTTTGGCCTTGGCCTTGCCCTTGTCATCGCTGGTCTTCTCATCTCCTTCCACCTTGTGATTGGGTTTATTGGCGGTTTGGGGGTTGTTGGCGTCGTAGTACTTCTTGGATGCGAGAGCACAACACCGGCAGGTATTGGCTTCCGGAGGTGCTGACGGCGACTGAGCCAGCCACTTGGGCTTGAATTCGACAGCGCGCTCACCCGGTCTCGGTCGCATGTCTTCAACTAATGCGACAAAACATTCTTCACCCGGTTCGATTGTGTCCCCTCGAAACTTGGCAGGCCGTCTGGGGGGAGGCGTGGTATCCAAAGCCTTCAGATGGTTGACCATATTCATGATGATGTCTTTGTTGCCTTTCCCCAGTCTGTGCACCACAACTAGGTCACGCCGGTGGTCGAAGATTGGCAGGATAAACTGCTGGAGGTAGCCCACCTGCAAACCTGCATTCAGGTACGGCTTGCTGGGATCTTTAGGTGCCTTTGGCACTCTCAAGAGAAGTTCTGTGAACGAGTCAATAACAAGCGAGCGGAGGCAACAGCTTCCATAACTTACTATTGAGGAGATCTTCATCGGTCTTGTCCCGTGGGTTGGGCTTTCCGGCATATGGTGGCAAGTGGGTTTTGAAAACGACGTTCGCAGCCCCCTCAGCGACGTAGTCGACATATAGCCAGTGGCCAATATACTTAGTATCTTTGGCACTGGTCACCTCAAACGAGAACGGCGGGCGGTTGGCGAATGGTAGTACCATCGCGATAGTAGTCGTGGTAGTGATAGATAGATAAGAAGGCAGTGAAGCGATGTCTAGGGGTTTTGATAAAGGCGAAATCTTTGTCGTAGAACAAGATGATGTTGTCGGGAAAACGATGCCAGACGGAGAGTCCGGAGGCTAAAAGCTAGACACCGTAGGAAACCACCTACTTTGGGGGCTAGGTGGCGGCCGCTTTGAGGAATGTTTTACCCAGGACGGAGGAAGCAACGCCCATTGTGGATGGTTCAAGTTGAGAGGATATGGCAGCTCGGGTAGTGGAAGGTCCTTCCCAACCGTGGGACTAAGGTAGAAAAAGACTGAAGGTGAAATGCGGAGCCGACACTGCCCGTCCAAACGATACCTCGACCTGGATCTTCCTGCTATCTTGTCCAATCCAGCATGGACACAGGATACGTTGGTGAGGTAAGACCACAGATGTCAGCCAACCCAACCCAACCTAGGCTGTCCTCCTCGGGCCGAAGACGAAGGCAGCGAGAACGGCAAGCGACGGCGGCTGGCCCGACTTCACCTCCTGGATAGATTCAGCAAATTCGGAGCGGTATCGACACGTCTCCATCTGCGATTTGTTGCTGCGGCGCAACGAGGGAGTTGTTGTCATGGACTGTTGTTGTCTTTGCGAAGTCAGCGGTATCCCAGGATGACGACAGACTTTCCCCTTCCGGGAGTGGAGCAGAAAGCTGGCTTTTTTGGCGCTGGCAAGCTGAGCTTCCGTCGACACAACCGTAGCAGACAGGCTCTTCCTTGGTTCAGCAGGCGCTGAGGGGTTGGCCAATGACTGACACCCTTTCCGCAAGGAGGCGTCGGCGTTGGCGTGTTTGTCATGTTTTGGGCGTTGAACAGGACGGGACGAGTGGTCGGTGCAGAGCGAGCAGTCGTGTGAGGCTGTTCACTTTCGCTAAAATTTACCCCAGAGTCTCGTGAGAGGCTCGTCGTTATTAGTGGACTGGAAATCACTGGATACCGCATCTCCTCCCGTTGCAGACTGAGGGGCCGAGTACGGTGCAAACGTAGGAAGATGGTCCAATTATTCCATCGACACAGCGTCAGCCCCATGCACATGCTTCCATTCCATACATGAGTTCCTGCGGCGAGAGCAAGGCACGCCCTCAGCTCTGGCAATCTGGGTAGCACTCAAGAAAAGCGAGGCGCCGTGCCGGCCGGTCTCTGCCGGAGGAGGACCGAGAATGGCCTGTGCAGTTGGTCGCTCGTGTCAGTCCCCACCGGCGGCCCAGAACGCATCCATGGATTGCGTCGTTTTCTTCCTTTGCGGCGTCGCCCGTTGGCTCCCTTCCACCGATAAGCGGACCACTGCGGAGAGCAGATCCAAGGACAGGGCCGTTGGTGGCTGGATGAGTGGCCTAGAGTGAGGGGAAAGGGACGAGCGGTACTGGCTGGACGTTGAAAGTAGGTAGATAGCAGGTCGTATTGGGCCGTGGGTGACGGGAGAAATGCAGCAGATCTGACAGGAGGTTTCGATGGGATAAGAAAGCGTCGGACTGGGCGACGGTCAAGAAGGAGGGGAAAGAGAGTCATCGCCTCGGGGCCAAGGGATGGCCGGGACGGCGGGCAGGTTGCAAGACCCGAGAGCGAATCGTCGGACGTGATTTGTCCATGTCCTTGATCCTTCTTCCAGCAGTCTACAGGGGCCACGAACACCTCCCCGGCCTGGCGTCTGCCTTGCTATTATTACACGGAGTATTGCCGTGGAGCGCATCTCTTCATCCCCCAGTCCAGGAGACGGAAGATGACGATGCAGGAGGGGAGAGAGAGCATGGTCTGAGATGGAGCAAACCAGCCCATGCCAAATTGATTTCCAGATTCAGCCTTCATGCAGATGCATCCACCAAAAGGGGATGGCGGCGTTTCCTGGAGTTTGGCAGTTTTCGAGAATCCTGCAAAGTCATCTCATGCTTTTTCGGTGCCTAGAGCGTAAAGTGCCCTGATGTCGGATCATGTCAAGCACATGTCTGTCAACGTCGTCCGATCTTTGCTGACTCTCCACCCCTCGTGACCGGTCCAAGGCTGCAACGGCCACCGGCACCAACCAACACGGCGGGATCGGGGTGCGGATGCGGATGCGATGGGAAGAAGCCATGCCATGCCATCGGCGGGTTCGTTTCGCCAAACGGTCCCAGAAGGCTGATTCGATTTTAGCTTGACAGATCTGAAGAGTCTCTGCGACCCCCCGTTCCCCATACGGTTCGCGCTTGGGGAAACGAGGCCCAACTCTAAATCGGCCACCGTCATGATCTCTTCTGTTAGCTCTTTCTCCGTCGCAATGCTGCCCGCTGCGATATGCCTCTTGGGTGTGCGCCAGATGGCAGATGGCAGATGTTAGTCTGGCCCGTTGTCTTAGAATCCAACCTCGGGTGACTTGCATGATGGCCAATTCGCCCCTACCTTACTCATACCGCCCTTCTCACAAGCAAAAACGCACCTAGGGACGGGCCTGTAAACACTGCCTGCCCTCAGTGCTACGCGCCAGCCGGGCTGCCAGACAAGCAGGTTGCAACCACTGTAATTAAGTGGAGCACACCCCTCCAAACACTGAGGTGTGAACCCCCCCCCCCTCCCCCGATGGAACTTGGAAGACCAACTGGAAGGGCTTCCTCCTGTCTTAACCGTGGCTTGGGGGCGCCCATCACGCTGCAGCCGTTGCGCCGACCACTCACACAGGGCGCCGACGGTGCCCACCGCCTCTGTCGCCCCACCCCAGTCGACCTGCCTGCACGCGACACCTGCAGGAGTCGACCAGTCACAGCACCCGGTTTCCCAAGTATCAGAAATTTTGCGGGAAGGGAAAAAAAATTCACGCTAAGCCCGCACCGCACCACTTACCTCCGAGTATTCCCTCGACCTGGGAGGCGCTCCCGAATACAATAGTGTATTCGTAGCGCACCCGACCAGCGTCATTCGGAGGAAAACGCACACACGCACCGCACCACCACCACCACACAGAGCTCGCCCCGATCTACATCCAAGACCTGCCTCCTCGCCAAACCAACCCTCCTTCTCCTCCCACTCACCCCATATTATCCCGCTGCTCTTCCCCGGACTCTCGCCTTCTAATTGCCTTGCTCCTCAACGTGTCCGTCCTTTATCCCTCCCGACAAACCGTTGCGAACAAAGCTCAAGAGCTCTTTCCGTCGAATGACGATTTCATAGCGACCCCCTCCGATCGACTTCGTCCTACTTTTACTCGGCCGAACGGCCTACACCAAATCACCCTTCGATGGTTGGCCGCAGTTAACGCCATTTCAACATGGCCTTCAACTTCAACTGGTCGCCGCTGACGGCCGACGCCGAGTTCTATCAGCGCGCCCGCGAGATGCTCACAACTGCCCTGAACAAGTCTCCGAAGCCGCCGATTATCGTCGATGACATCCTCGTTACCGAGTTCAACCTGGGCTCTGTGCCCCCCGAGCTGGAGATTCTTGAGATTGGCGACATTGCGGAGGACAGATTCCGAGGAATATTCAAAATGTGCTATTCTGGCGACGCCTTCCTGACGTTGAAGACCCGGGTTCAGGTATGCCGATTTTTTTTTTCTGGTGGCTTTTTTTCTCCCGCCTTCCCTGCACCCGCAGCTTTGGAGGCGAAGCTCGGTGCCGCGGCCGCGGCAATGACTTCACCAATGCCGCACCCCGACGAACATGCACAAATTCAACCCCGACGCATCCCCGTTCCAGCGCGACTTCGTTGCATCGAGTATTTTCAATCGCGATGCCATTCCCATGCCAGTGCTTGGAATGACCGCGAGCCCCGCCAACGACCACATAGCCGGGACTCGATGACGCTGCTCCAAAAACATCGTCAATGAGCTCGGTTACCAGACTGCCCAACTTTCCTCGCCTACCCCTCGGCACTTAGCCCAAACATCCCGGTGTTTGTTTTTTACTCATCAAACATTTCGTCCCTACCCGCGTCCTTGCATTGATGCTGAAATTGCCTTGCTGGGATGCGCGTCCTTAACCTCTCTATGGACCTACCAAATTGGAACGTGCGTCATAGCAGTGGCTAATATATCAACAAACAGGCAAATCCACTGAATACCTACCTATCTTCTAAGCCAAGCTTCACATCGCCCCAGCCATTGGCGGCGGCATCGGGGTTGACAATCCCGCTGTCAATCACCTTGTCCGAGATCAAGCTCTCGGCTTTCATCATCTTGGTGTTTTCCAGGACGAAGGGGCTCACCCTGGTTTTCCGGAACGACCCGCTAGAATCGCTTAAGGTCTCCTCGACCTTTGATTCGATCCAGTTTGTGCGCGATTATCTGCAGCGGACTATCGAGGCCCAATTGAGGAATCTGATGATGGACGAGCTCCCCGCCATCATTCACCGCCTGTCTCTCCGCCTGTGGTGCCCCGATGCAGTACCAAAGGACGAGGATGCGTCCAAGGAGAACACTGATGAGACCGTAGTGGACCCCTTGGCTAGCCCCCCATTAGACCCCGTGGACGCGAATGGCAACCTGCTCGATGCGAACGACGTGTCGTCACTATCGTTAGAGGGCGGCCCAGAGGTCCAATCACTTTTCTCGCAGAAGAACCTGCTGAGACTAGCTGCACTGAACGACTCTCATCGCACCTGCTCCCTCTTCACGCCGGGTATCCGCGATGTAGTTTTCAGGGCTTGGACCAGACCTGCAGCGTCTGAACCAAACAGTACCCCGCCAACCGCGACCCCTAGCTTGTCCAAGACGAACTCGTTCGCTGGGACGTCGACCACGTACACATTCTCTGACACAGGTAGCGCAGCTCATGGTCACCTGCCATCCCGGCCGTCCATGGTGAGCCTTAACTCGGCGACCACCGGACTGTCTCTGGGAGCTGGCATTAGATCGAAATCGTATGCAGGCCGGAAGAAGAAGAACAGAGTCGTCAACCTCCGTCGCACCCACAGCGAGGCGTCCACACCAGAGGCAAGCGACACTTACTCGGATATAGCGTCTGATTCTGCTTCCGTGGCAGGCCCTTCGACCGAACCCCTCACATCCTGCTCCATTGCGGAGGATCCTGAACAGGAGGAGGCCCTGGCAGAGCTGGCCAATTCCACGCCGAGCAAGGTCCGCTTCAGCCCCGTCGAGAGACCCCAACTCCACTCCCGGCCTCCTTTGCAGCCCAACTTCTACGCTCCGCCCACCGAGGCTCTCAGTGCGCCTATCAAACTCGATAGCGCCCTCAATGTGGAGACTACTCCGACGGCCCAACAGCCAGCCGACAAGGCTCGGACTTATCCCAATGAGAAGGGCGTTGCTGGCGAGAACTCGACTGTGTACGAGCAGGCCTGGATCATGAAGATGGCTGGAGAGATTGCTCGCCGTGTCTACGACGAGAAGAACCGTCAGCAGCAAGGCATGTGGGACGAGAGGGAGGATGTTCCCCCTCCGGCCTACGAAGCCTCAACCTAAACAACAGACCTGCGCATAGCAGGTGAACATAACGTATGACCGTACAAAGATCACCACCTACCCATCCACCCTGCTGGATTTTGCATTTTCCTTACCGTCTGTCCCATCGACTTCTCCTCGCAAGGCGTTTGGGGAGCTTCTCTCTTTTTTCCCTTTTTTCAAGCGGAGACAACACAAAAGGCTCTGCCAAACCATTGATTGCTTTAGTGTTAATGTGTATATCCGCATGGCGTTCGACAGGACAAGGGAGGGGATCATAAAAAAAGAATGCTTGTTTTGTCGACGACGGGGAAAACAAAGATTGGAGAAACCACGGCTCCCCCCCCCTTCATCGTCGAATTTGTTTTGCGCTTTTTGGATTCTTTGGGTTGGGATTCGGGGGGCCACCAACCACGACTGAACTGATGACATGACGAACGGCAGTCTTTTAGAGACACACCAAACTTTACGGCTGCTGCTACTACCTTATCACGGCATCATCAGCCCATTTTTAGCGACGTCCTCGAAAAGGCGCGTACGCATACATACCAAACTTTACACCCTTTTCTTTTGTCATGGAATTATATGCACAGAGTCACGTCCGCGGGGGACGGATAGACAGAGAGAGGAGGTGGAACAAAAGCAGGAAGGAGCCGCTGCTGCAGACCAGGAGAGGAAATCACATTGATATCATTCGAAAGAGCGGGGAAAAGGGGGTCAGACGGAATCTGCGGACAGACATTGAGTATCTTTTTTTGCGCGAAAGCCTGGCTCGACAGAGAGACCCATGGCGAAAGGCATGTCAGTTAGACATGTCGGAAGAATCAAACTCCCATCTTCTAAGCATAGTACTGTTTTCTCAATTGCGTATGTGAAGCATGCTATCGATACACCTTGATTCGCCACACCATTAAACATCGACAAGCTAAGCCGAACCTATTTGTATGCTCAGCCTGTGACGACTACTCGATCTTTGCCTTTTTGTTCGACAACTCGACTTCTTCCATTGAGATGCATCGCTTCAACGGCGATGTACGAACCTCAGGACGACGTCGTTCGATGTTCGAGTGCGCAGGATACGGAAAATGACGCGTTGCAGAAGGCCCAGGCACATCATGTGCTGTCAAGAGTCGGGTTTGACTTCTGTTGTCAGGCTGGCTGCCGCAACTTCTCATGTATGACAGAGCTTGAGATGACACCGTCCGTAAATATTTTACGGTCTCAGGTGCAAGAGATTGTGACATTTCAGCTGGAGCGATGGGCTGCTGCTCGGAGGTTTCACCCCGTGGCAGATGGTGGTCGCCCTGCTCCTCGTGGTCAACCGCACTGTCCAGCATCCGCCGGATTTTGCTGTCAAGTATCTTCTTCCAGAAACGGGCACATCCTTGTTGATGCTCGTCCAATAGTGCTTCAAGATATAAATGTCTCTTCAGCCCATGAGGCCAACGGGCTGCCGCATAGTCATGAATACTGTCGAGTACGAAGTTCTGGGCCACGTCAAGGACGCCTAACTCCCACGGGTCAGCCTCGCTGTCGCCGCAAGACGCGAGTGCCACAGAGTAATCGAACTGCGGGCACAGGATATTGCTGTCCACTGCGGCAGCAACAGCTTCAATCTAGGAGTCGAGGATCTTCCGCAGATTTTGCTTCGCTTCCTGTACCTTCTTTTCGTCTTGCTTTCGTTGGGCTTCGTCGGTCTTGCGTCGTTTCCTAAAGAGCCCCTTGTTTTTTGCGCTGGGCGGCTTCTAGCTGCTCGCAGCAGCAGCGTTCTCGGCTTTGAGCTTGGCAAGTAATGCTTCCCTCTCCTTAAGAATCTCGAGCTGTTTCTCGGCCATCTTCTGGACCTTGTCCTTGGCCTCTGCGAGTTTCTTAACCTCGATCTGCTCCGTCTCGAGACTGAAGGGCTGTCCTGGCTTATTTACCGCGGGCAGAAGGGAACTCCGCTCCCAGGAAACTTGTACGTTAGACGTCTTCTCAGGCAGAGGAGGAATCGGCTTGTTCTTCCCCTTGCCGCCCTTCCCAACAGGATGGCCCTTTGGAGTAGCTCCAGAGGTGAGGATCTCGTAGAAGGCTTCGTAAGGCTCATTGAAGAGCTGCTCTTCGTAGTTCCAGGCGGTAATCTCACCATTGTTCTGGCGGGCCATCTGTTCCTTCTCGGCATCGGTCCTACCGAAGGGGTGCAAGCGGAGATTGTGGTACAGAGTTTGGGGCTTCTCGCCGGACTCGGTCACGTAGTACATCTTAATTGTGATCTCGAATTCTCCCCATCCGGTCTCATGGATGATGAAGGGTTTTCCGGGTTCGCCGTCGATCACTTCGTTGAGGTTAGCAAGGTTCGCAGCCTAGTAGGAAAGGCGAAGGGGGGAACGCACTCCGCACGTGGTTGGGGATGGACTCATGTAACTTGAACTGGACTCTTCTAAGCCAGTAGGTAATGTCTGTGTCGTCAATACCCTTTACAAAGACCTCCCATGAGTGGGTGTGGTCGTCTGGGACGCCCTCTGGCTTCGGATTGCGCTCGGGATCGAAGGGTCGGGCAGTGGTTCCGTAGATGAAGGAACGCTTGATCTGGGTGCCCTTGACGCGTTTACCGAGGCTGCTGGGCGGCGCCATCTTTGCGGTTTTTGCGGAATACTCGGATGGATTGATATGTCTTGTGTGACGATACAGTATTAAGGAGACAATCGTTGTCGTTAAAGTTGGTGTTCGAAGATGTACATGGTGGAAAATGAGTTGTCGCAAGAATGGTTTCTGCAGTCGCGCCCCAAGGCGAAGAAAGACAAGGTAAGTACCTTCAGGTAGCCTTACAGGTGCGCAACTTTAAAGTGGGCCAGAAATACCACCCCTCGCTTTTTCCCCATCGAATCTGTTGCCGAGTCTAGGAAACTCTGACGCGATGCCGTCTTTCATCCAGCGGCAAGTCAGGAAATAAGGGTATCATGCAAAAGGCAATGGAGTTCGCAGGTTCGATCGAACCGGACTTTTGGCTGTTTTCATGAGTCCGCCTTTTTTTTTACTACATTTCCTGTGTGTTTGTCTGCGACCTTCTGAAGGCGTGTGACATATATCTAGAAATGCACTTACAGGGAACTAACCCACAAGATCTTGTGTAACGCAGAATGCACAAAGTGAAAGGTTGAAATTACTGACCGCCCGAAGGACAGAACTGGAGTACAATCCGGAGAGGTACTCAATTTCTACACTAAGCTTGGCATCCAGCGCTGGTTATGAGGTCATAGACGAGTCTCCACTGGAATCGAGAACCGGTCAATGACTTTCTACAAAGTGATAATAGTTAAAGAAAAAGAAGCGTCTGGACGAAGTATTGAGATCTTTCTTTCGGGATGCTTCGAATACCTCAGTATACACTCATTGGTCTGATGTGTCTGGTGCATTCCTTCTAGTCTGGTACGTCCGTCCCATGGATGGAATATTCCAAGCTCAGGCACAGTGGACGCAGCCAACGCGAATCGGGTCTGGCCAATGACAAGCTCCAATGTAGCTGCGCACCCCTGTAAGCGCACGCCTGCGTCAAGACCCTGGAAGATTTCAATGGGGAGCTGGGGGAGCTTCGGGGCGGGTGATGATTTCATGACTTTGCACCGCGTCCGGAACGGCATCGAACCACTCTCGGAAGAAACTGGCATTCGATTGTCGGTACACTAACGCCGAATTCGGGGTTCAATCTCATTCAACAGCAATTGGCTTTCATCCAGCTCTGTTCGCTCGTGAACCCTTCCAATCTCCCCTCAATTGGTCGACCGCTCATACCTTCTCACACTGCGACCATGTCCACATCAGCCGTCACCAAGAAGCTCGTGGTCTGCGGAGGCAACGGCTTCCTCGGGTCAAGGATCTGCAAGTATGCCGTTGCGAGAGGCTGGGATGTCACGTCAATCAGGTACATCCTCCCATAGGGCTTCATCCAGCTTATCATCTTCTCTAACATCGTTCCGCAGTCGCTCAGGTGAACCCAAGTGGCAAGCAGTGACCTCATCACCAGCTCCTCCTCAATGGGCACACAAGGTCTCGTGGGAGCGTGCCGATATGCTCCGCCCCGCGACGTATGCACCGCTCCTTAAGGGCGCCGACTTCGTCGTCCACAGCATGGGCATTCTCCTCGAGGCCGACTACAAGGGAGTCGTCTCCGGCCAGGAGTCACCCATCTCCGGTCTCCAAAAGGCTTTCGCGCCCGTCAAGGACCGCGGCGTCGACCCCCTCAAAGGCCCCGAGGGCGCTGACCTCAAACCCACAAACCCTAAGGACCAATTCACCTACGAGGTCATGAACCGCGACAGCGCAATTGCCCTGGCCAAGCAGTCAAACGCCGAGAACGTGAAAGCATTTGTCTACATCTCTGCTGCCGGAGGTGCGCCTGTACTACCGGCGAGGTACATCACCACCAAGCGCGAGGCAGAAAGCACAATTGCCAGCGAATTCCCGCGCATGCGTGGCATCTTCCCCAGGCCGCCCTTCATGTACGACAGCTCGAGAAAGTTCACACTGCCTCTAGCTGCCATGACGGGCGCTGGTGCTCTGTTCAACAAGCTAACTGGAGGCGTGTTGGGCAGCTTCATGGGTGCAAGCGGTGTGAAGCCTTTGCCCGTGGAGTCCGTGGCAGAGGCAGTCGTAGAGGCACTGGATGACACCAAGGTTCAGGGGCCTATCGAAGTGCCTGAGCTCGAGGAGCTGGCGAACAAGGGATGGAGAAAAACCATGCTCTAGGGCATGTCATGTATTCTAAAAGTTGTCATAGACTGTATCATTCCCCAAAGCCGTAAGGCTCCCCGCGCGCTTTTACTCCCATTAATTCAACATCCGGCTCTTAAATCATGGTTCCTCTCTCAAAACTGTCCCTAATCTCCGCAGTGTACTTGTTGTAGAAGCGTGCCAGCTTCTGGTTGAACTGCTTGTTCTTCTCGTTGATGTATGTGACGTCGCCGTCGTCGCCGTTTTGTGCCATGCGGTCCTTCCTCTTCTTCAATCGGTTCTCCTCAGCTCTCCTGAGGTCTTCCACAAGT